TTTTTTAAAATTAATATTTTATTTATCATTTAAGAGATAATGATCACCTCATTAAATGATATTACTGATGGCTAGATAATAAATTAAAATACATTAATTATTCTTTAAAATGTTGACATGTTATTTATATGTATCTATACTTATTATATAAGGTATCTTATTTACCAAATTTAGTAGATTGAAAAGTCAACGTAATTAATGCATTGTTATTTCTATCCACAATTTTATTTAATTATTTTATTTATTTATCTTATATCTTATAAAATCAGTTTAAAAAAAATCCCATAACATCTGACAAGTAAAAAAAAAGACGTAAAATCTTTACTAAAATAAAAAGACTTTATTTATTTTTCTTATTTCATATTAACATCGTTTTGTCAAAATAAATCCCATAAAATCAGTGAAGTCAATATTTGTACGTAAAGTCTATATATATAAAAAAAAAAAGTCAAATTCAAAATTCCTTATCTAATTCCTTCTTTTCATTATTTATCCTTTTTATTATCTAATTGTATGAAAATCTGTTCTGATTTTTTTAAATCCTCTAATTGTATTTGTATTATATTCCATAAATTCGATTTAACAAAAAAAATCCCATACCATCCGATAAGTAAAAAAAAAAAAATACGTAAAAACTTTACTAAAATAAAAAGGCTTTATTTATTATCTAATTTATTATCTAATTGTATGGAAATCTGTTCTGATTTTATGGTACGTACTACAAATTGTGCACCCGTGTTCAGGGGCTACTTAACGGGCAAACTCTGTGGAAATGACTCATTTAGTGCTTCTGTCTCGTGCATACGGTATGTATTTTTATTACACATACTAGAAAATTGTGCACTCCGTGCATCGCACGGACTCTGTACTAATAAATGACCTTAAATTTGTACACCCCGTGCATCACCCGTGTTCACATTTTGGCCTATTATAGGTCACGTACTATATATATCCCGTACATTTTTTTATTCATTTATATAATTATAAGAATGGATAAATGACCTCAAAATTGTGCATCCTGTGCATCGCACGGGCTCTGTACTAGTTTTGGATGAAAAACTAAATAGGCAAACGAAATGTAATTGAGATAAAATTTTGTAGGTACAATTTGTTCAGCTAAAAAAATTAGATGGTGGGTCATCCACGTGCTATATGACACCCAAGTTTTTTAAGGCTATGTTTGGTAAAACTAGCTGATAAGTTAGCTGATAGCTTATATGAAATTTTCGAGCTTATAGCTTATAGCTTATGACTTATAGCTGAAAAACTAGCTTATATGATAAAAGTGTTTGGTAAAATTAGCTGATAAGCTAGCTGGAATAAAAAATTCAACTAGCTTATTTGAAAAACTACCTAAACAAGCTTATCAAATAAGCTCGAGCTTTTTAAATAAGCTCGTCCTACCAAACGGGGCTTATTTGAATACATGAAGCTTATAAGCCAACCAAATAATGAACTCTAATTGGACTTAAATATTTTGGATGAAAAATGGGTGCGCAATGAACTCTGATTGGACTTAAATTTACGAATTCGACCCTTTAGAATAGAATCCAACGATGGGTTTTTCATGTGAAACTGAGGTCATACGGCGTTCAACCAATATTGGAAAGGAAACAACAAATTTTATATTGTTATTCGTAATTATTGTACATTAAAATAAAACAAAATGTAACTTATACATTATTAAAACATCATTGTACACAACATTATTTATTTGGTCTTTCGGTACATCGTCTATCGCATTGCATAACCAAATATAACAGGAATTTACAACGTCTTTCTTGATAATCTAAAGCCTTATTATTTTAAAATTGTAAATTACTTAATTTAATGAAGAGAAAAATTGTGTAAGTGTATGCAATCAATTTCAAATTTGTATTCTAGAGGATTAAGCAAAACTCAAAGTTTTAGAATTTTCAAATTCGATTTCATTTTGAATTTCAAATTAATATTATTTGACTCTGTTTTATGTTTTAAAAAAAATTCGAAATTAAGAAAGTATCAACCAAATGATAAGAAGTTTTTAAATTTCAATGTTCAATTTGAAATTGATGCAATCCGATTTTTTTTTTAAATAAACATTATCTATTGCAATTAGGTAAATATGCATTATATAATATTTTTCCTAATTCTAAATTCTCGATTTTATGGTAAACAATTTTTTGAAATAAAAAATAAGAGAATTTTGACTTTTACAAAATTGTCATGGCGAATTTTACCTCAATTAACCCGATTTCTATGCAATCCAATTTTTTATAATAAAATGATGTGTTGCAATTAAGAAAAGATATATGTGATGGTATTTTGCCTAATTCGGAGTTCTCGATTTTATGGTAATTATTTTTTTAATAAAAATTGAGAAAGAAATTTTGGTTTTTTCAAAATTATAAGCATCAGTCAAAATTTATCTAAATTAAATCTACGAAACTCATGAATTTATAATGCATATATAGCATATTGATTTTTTTGAGAATAATTTAAAAAGAAAATTAAAAAAATTACAAAAAATAGAATATAATAAATTTTGTTAGACTTTTTTTTTTTATTATTATTTTTGGTAAATAGTTTCCCTCTCTCTATATAGATTTTATTTGTTGTGGAGGTATTAGGTTTTCCTTTGTACCAATCGAACATTCGAGAATACCCTTTTGATGACTGTTTTATAGTCTCTCGTGGACTCCAAGAACTCTCTCGGCCTGTCCTTCCCTCATCCATATTCCTAAATCTCCTTGAACATTCACCTTCCTTATCACTCATCTATAGATTACCTGTTTATCCCTAATCCCTGCATCTGTTGGGACAATGGCAGACGAAGCCAAGGCCAAAGGCAACGCCGCATTCTCGGCCGGCAACTACGACGACGCCATCCGCCACTTCACAGACGCGATCGGCTTAGCACCCACCAACCACGTCCTCTACTCCAATCGATCCGCAGCCTACGCTTCCCTCAGAAAATTTTCCGAGGCCCTCTCCGATGCGCAGAAGACCGTGGAGCTGAAGCCCGACTGGGGCAAGGGTTACTCGCGCCTGGGCGCGGCCCATATGGGCCTCCACAAATATGGAGAGGCCGTCTCCGCTTACAAGAAGGGCCTTGAGATCGACCCCAACAATGACGCCCTCAAGTCCGGGCTCGCAGATGCAGAGGCCGCCACGGCGCGGAGCTCTAGGCAGCCTCGAGGAGGGCCGGGCGGGAACCCGTTCGGGGAGGCGTTCGGGCCGGAGATGTGGGTCAAGCTGGCGAGTGACCCCGGCACCCGGGGGCTTCTCCAGCAGCCGGATTTTGTGAAGATGCTGCAGGATATTCAGAAAAATCCCAATGATTTGAACCTCTATTTGCAAGATCCGAGGGTTATGAAGGCATTGGGGGTGCTGCTGAATTTTAAGTTCCAGACGAGGGACACTGAGCAGGATGTGGAGATGCCCACAGCATCCAGTGGTGGGTCTCCAGAGAGGAAGAGACCTGCAGCAGCGGAGGCTGAGCCCTTGAAGGAGGATAAGAGGCCGGAAAAAGAGCCCGAGCCTGAGCCTATGGAGACTTCTGAGGAGATGGAGAAGAAGGAGATGAAAGCGCAGGCATTAAAAGAAAAGGAGTCTGGGAATGCTGCGTATAAGAAGAAGGATTTTGAGACCGCCATTCAGCACTATTCGAAGGCAATTGAGCTGGACGATGAGGATATTTCTTTCATCACTAATCGGGCCGCAGTTTACCTCGAGATGGGCAAGGTACTTCAATTTCTTGTTCAGTGAGAGTATTTTTGCTGTTGATGCATTTTTACTGTTCAAGTTTTTTTAATGCTTTTGATATTTATCAGTTCCATATGCGCTATGACTTGGGGTGTGTGACACTGTGAGATGTTTAGTAGTTTACTTTATGTTATTATAAGAGTCCATAGTTGCCCGTTAATACATTGTGATTTCCTGTTAGATCTATCTACTGAATTTGCTGCACAGATTCCAGTAAAGCTGTTTTTAGAAAGCTTTGCTGTTTGTATTGGATCAAGCTTGGTTGACCAGTGAGATTACTTTGCTATCTGTTGCATTATTGTCTGCAATAAGATCATATTAGATTGTGTGACCTTTCAATTGCAAGCAGTTTATGGCGAGTGCCTTTCACATTTGATGGATCTTAATGTACAATAGCATTGCTATTTGATGTAGCCTTCCCCTGTGGCCTTCAGTCCACATTCTCTGCATATGCCAAGTTGTTCTGATTTGATTTGCCCAAGTCCTAGTAATTTGAAATAGACCAGCCATTACTCATGCTGTCTCCACTTAGATGATTTTTGTGGTTCGGTCTAGTGGTGACAGGTTTTTGATGGAACATTTGGCCTGCTACTATAGGTAGGTTGTATTTGTTATAAGAATAATTCATTTTCCATCTTCTGGTTACAACTATACCGCTGCACGTTGTCCTTTTATCTTTACCAGTATGCGAAGCATTAGTTGCACGTGAAATGGTAAAAGGATATCAGTTGAGCATGTCATGATGAAATGTTGAGATGATACTAATAATTCCCACACTTATCAAAATGGATAAACCACAATCGATTAACTGCATGATCTATGCATAAAGTGAAGAAAAAGAAAAACAGGCCCTTACGTGTAAGTAAACGCTGCATAAATGTTCTCTCTCTGTTCTTTTTTCTTTTTAATCTTGATTGGAGGAAGTTGATACCTTTGTCATCATGGTATGAAATGAAACTGATATCTTTTGTGGTACATTTGTCATTTGCTTTCAGTCATCCCTCTTTACCCTTCATTTTTCGAATTCACTCAAATTCTCCTTCTAGGTATATGATTCTTTTGTTTAGAGGTATGAAAAATAAAAATTAAATTGATGCCTCATCACAATGCTCAAATTCTTCTTTCATACATGATGTTTGTTTTTAGAGGAATTAAAAATCAAAACACTATTGATGACTCGAAGTTTAATCTTCTGTTATATTTGATCCCATGTGTTCTCCTAAATGCAAAATGTTATGAATATTCAAACATAAGATGGGTGATCAGTGCATGATATAAGAGTGTTTTTCCAATTTAACGCAACACAATAACAAAAAATATCTCGCCCTTGCCAATGTGATGTAATTGCCACAATGAAAGTGAATAATTATAGAAATGTAATATTATTGAAATTCATTTTATTATTTCAGTACGAGGACTGCATCAAAGATTGCGACAAGGCTGTAGAAAGGGGTAGAGAATTGAGAGCAGATTTCAAGATGATAGCCAGGGCCTTGACAAGAAAGGGATCTGCCCTAGTCAAGATGGCCAAGTGTTCAAAGGATTATGAACCTGCTATTGAGACTTTCCAGAAAGCTCTTACTGAGCATCGAAACCCGGATACATTGAAAAAGCTCAATGATGCTGAAAAGGCAAAGAAAGATCTCGAACAATTGGAGTACTTTGATCCACAGATAGCTGATGCGGAGCGTGAGAAAGGTATAAATGTCATCCATTTCCCCCTTTCATTTCTCACGATCCTTTTTAGCTGAATTTATGTTCACAAATATTATTAACACCTTGTTCGGTTATGAATTGTAGGTAACCAGTATTTTAAAGAGCAGAAGTACCCTGAGGCTATCAAGCACTACACAGAAGCAATTAAGAGGAACCCGAAAGATCATAAGGTATTTGAGACCTAAAAAAAAACTGCTTGCCTATGTATGTATGGAGAGGAGGCATTGTTTCTGTTTCTTTCGTTCTTTCATTTTTTTCCCCGGTATTTTGAAATGATTGGAACATGCAGGCATATAGCAACAGGGCTGCATGTTACACAAAACTTGGGGCCATGCCCGAGGGACTCAAAGATGCTGAAAAATGCATCGAACTTGATCCAACCTTTTCTAAAGGTTATACCAGAAAAGGTGCTGTCCAATTTTTCATGAAAGAGTATGAAAAAGCATTGGAGACATACCAGGAGGGATTGAAGCATGATTCCCACAACCAGGAATTGTTAGATGGTGTTAGAAGGTAATACCTGATACTAATTCTCTCTTCTTCTTTTTTTAAAAAAAAAATATTTTATTCTTTATTGTTCATTATATCTTTTTCGTTTTCCTTCCACTCTTGTTCAGATGCGTAGAACAGATAAACAAGGCCAGTCGTGGAGATTTGAGCCCTGAGGAGTTGAAAGAGAGACAGGTTTGATATGCATTCACATATAATGTTATGTGTATACAAACACACATTAATTAAACAGTGGTTAGCTAGCAATATCTAATTTGTATAAATCGCTCGATAATTTCAGGCCAAAGCAATGCAGGATCCTGAGATTCAGAACATCCTTACAGATCCAGTAATGAGACAGGTATGCTTTAGATTCATGTCTGGTTTTTGAACGATATGCATAAAGCATGAGTACTAAACTAAAATCCTCTATGTTAAGTAATTACAATGCCGAATATTGTTCGTATAGGTGCTGACTGACTTACAGGAGAATCCAAAAGCTGCACAGGAACACACCAAGAATCCTCTTGTCATGAACAAAATACAGAAACTCATCAGCGCAGGAATTGTTCAGATGA